GCTATAAGGCACCGTGAGTGTGAGGGGCAAATAGAGATTGAATCAGAGGTTCAAGGGCTGTAAAGACTAACCAGGTCTTACTCCCAGCTCTGACCACACAGACTAAGCAATCACTGACAGTACTGAGGGCTTGGTGTGTCTTCTAGAAAAGCTCACCTGACCTTCTAAGAGGACACAAAAAAGAAGCTGGTCTCATTCAAGTAAATTCAACACCTGAATCGATGTTAAAATCTTGCCATGCCATGAAAACACAAGGTGTAGAAGTGAGGGGGGGGAAAAGGACAAAAATCGTTAACTAGTATTTCAACAGAAACCTTTAAAGACACATTTTTCCAATATTCAGTAAATAATTTTGAATTACTAGTAGTTTTGCAGAAATATAATTTAAAAATAATCACAACTCAACACAAAGACTTTTCTCTCTTGATTTATTTCCAAAAAAACAAAGCTCAATAAATTTTAGATTTCAAATAAAATATGAATATATGTGTATATTTGAGAGAGAGAAAGAGATAGAGTGCGAGCAGGGGTGGGGCAGAGAGAGAAGGAGACACAGAATCTGAAGCAGGTTCCAGGCTCTGAGCCATCAGCACAGAACCCAATGTGGGACTCAAACTCACAAACCACAAGATCATGACCTGAGCCGAAGTCAGCGCTTAACTGACTGAGCCACCCAGGAGCCCCATTAAATAAAATTATATATATTTAAGGTACACAACATAATGTTTTTATAAACATATACACACTGAAATAATTACTATGGTGAAGCGAATTAACATATTTATGTCCATAGTTACTTTTTCCCCCTTTTTAAAAGAAAGCTTAGTATTGATGTGTTCAGTAATTAGTTCCCTCCATATCTGTCAACCAACCTACAAGGAAGCAAGCTGCCTTCAGAGGTGACAGTTATACCTGAGAAAGCAGAGGCTGTTCAGTAAGGAGTCACCACACTTATTACTAGACATCAGCCAACCCAAACAAAAGCGGTAATGCATCTTTTCATCACACACACACAGTAAATAAAGTCCTATTTAGTGCTCAACACACCTATGAAACTAGTAAAGCATAACCAAGCCAGGTAACCTACTGTATTTAAGAACATTTTTTAAAAAGATCATTTTGAATAATTAGACACAAACGTGACAGTCAACACATAATTATGCTGCAGGACAACAGAATGTTTATTATGAGCTGGGAGAGGGGTAGCTAACCATATCTGGTTTCTGAATATAGTTTAAGATGGGCTGTTTTCTGCCAGAGACACAAAGAGAAAGCCAAGCGAGGTATCCTTATCTAGGTCTCTAAAAGTACTTTTTTGGTTTGGATATCACAAAAGGGGTTAAAAATACTTGAGACTCCCAAAAAAGCCTAACAAGACATCTGGGTGCTGCGGCTGTCACTGTCAGGGCAGCCCTTGGAGGGAATGCCCATATCAATTCAGTTTATCAGATGGACAGCTGATCAACATTAAACAGACTTGCTCTGGGCAGAGTAAGCTGAGCTTCCTGACATGAATTCCAATGAGAGCCCTCTGCACTCTACCACCGAGCTCTGCCATTTTTTACTGTTGCAGCTCCCTGGACATATGGGAATCCCTAGTGATGAGCACATAAAGCTGCCTCTAACTCAAGTGACGGCTCATTTCCCCTGGCTGAAGGCAGACATTAATATCCTGAGGAGATCAGACCCGCCTCTCTGACCCCCATCTACCGAAGCAAAACGACTGTCCTATTTCTTCATTTAATAAGCTTTTAATGAAGAAAACCAAAACCCCCTCTCTGACTGCAGCACAGTTCTACATGAAAAGGTTATACAAATACATCTGATTCTGTGTCAAAGTTTTCCAAAATATGTGTCTCCCTCCCCACTGAAGTGTAGATTGTCACTCGCCCGCCCACAGAGCTCATTCTTTCTGCTGCAGCCCAGGGCTTCAGTTCTCTGCTCCAATAATTATGAACCGTCTCCACGTGATGGCAGGTGGAGGATTAAAGAGCTGATGACAAAGAGTACGCTGGTGTTTCCATTTTCATGACAAACCTCTTTCTTCAATGGTTCATCATGGAGCTATGAAAACCGCCTCAGGCACAACCAGACTGGGAGAAATGGCAGTCCAATGACAACCCAGATAGCACCCAAGGAAAGGCTTCCGAGCACAATCAGAATACGAGAAAACTAACAATGTTTGGTGAACTGGAGTTGGCATACATACTCTGATTTTAGGAGGGATAAAAGGAAGGGTACATGATGGCAAGTGAAGATGACAAGCAGAGTTTCACCTGTGAATCATGGCTCCTGCTTAAAAATAAGGGGAACCTGAATCATTATTGAAGTTCGGCGCTGAGCCCGTTGTCTATTGCCAGGGCTCTGTGAGCTATGAATTGTTTCACGAGAGGCTAAAGTTGGAATTTTCTCTCCTTTAGAAAGCAAGTATGGGTGAGGAGAAACGTAAAGGCTGCATGTTAACTGAGACAGAGGAGACACTGCAGGAGGGAAATGTCATTCGGCAAACACCTCTCCAACTAAAAAACAGGAGGCAGTGATGGGCTGAAAAGGGAACCTTGGTAGGCTTCCTTGGACTATGGAGCATGTCTGAGGCTAGAAAATGTGAAGGAAAGGTGAGCATAGAGGGGCAAAGATCTGTTTCCTATGAAAAAAGTGTCAAGGAATACAATGTACAGTGATAGGCTTTAAATTAGATCACTTACACTGCTATCTGATCAATTTAGGTATCAAGAGTCATAAGAATACTAGCTGTTCCCCGAAATATTTTACCAGGTCTTTCTTTCTGTGTCTAAAAGTAGAGTGGCTCCCCAGCACATTTAAACTACAGACAATAGGGGTGCCTGGGTGGCTCAGTCGGTTAAGCGTCCAACTTCGGCTCAGGTCATGATCTCGTGGTCCGTGGGTTCGAGCCCCGTATCGGGCTCTGTGCTGACAGCTCAGAGCCTGGAGCCTGTTTCAGATTCTGTGTCTCCCTCTCTCTCTGCCCCTTCCCAGATCGTGCTCTGTCTCTCTCTGTCTCAAAAATAAATAAAAGTTAAAAAAAATAAATAAATAAACTACAGGCAATAAAAGAAAGCCGCGGCAGGCACTCAGTGTGCAGGCTAACACATAGTTCATAACCTACTAATATCCCAGATATTATTATTTTTTATATAGCATCTCACTTAATCTTCACCAAGTTTAGTTGTTAAGCCAATTTTATAGATGGAGGAAATGGATTTCCATAGGGGGAAGGAATGTCAGGGAGTCTCTACAGAAAATATTATCCAGGAGAGGCAAAAGACATACAATCTGACCATTAAAGAAAAGAGTATTTAAAATCAAATGACATTTCCAAACATCTCTTTAAACAATCAGATCCTACAAAATACTCTTGTTACCATGCATTAAACTACTTTCTTCCTTTCTTTTTTAATGTTTATTTTTGAAAGAGAGACAGAGACAGAGACAGAGACAGAGAGAGAGCACACACGAGAGCATGAGCGGAGGAGGGGCAGAGAGAGAGGGAGACACAGGATCTGAAGGCGGCTCCAGCCTCTGAGCTGTCAGCACAGAGCCTGACCCAGGGCTCAAACCCACAAACTGTGAGATCATGGCCTGAGCTAAAGTCAGATGCTCAACTGACTGAGCCACCGAGGTGGCTGGTACGAAACTCCTCCCTCCCTCCCTCCCTTCTTCCCCTCCCTCCCTTCCTCCCTCCCTGTTTTAAAGTAGACTCCATGCCCAGTGTGGAGCCCAACATGGAGCTTGAGCTCATGACCCTGAGATCAAGCCCTGAGCTGAGATCAAGAGTCATATGGGGTGCCTGGGTGGCTTAGTCGGTTAAGCGTCCGACTTTCGCTTAGGTCATGATCTCACGGTTCGTGGGTTCGAGCCCCACGTCGGGCTCTGTGCTGACTGCCAGCTCAGAGCCTGGGGCCTGTTTCAGTCTGTGACTCCCTCTCTCTCTGACCCTCCCCTGTTCACGCTGTCTCTCTCTCTCTCTCCTAGAAATAAATAAAACATTAAAAAAAAAAAAAAAAAGAGTCATATGCTAACTGACAAAGGCACCCAGGTGCTCCAAAACTATTTTCAAACTACAGATATGGCTATAAAAATTCTTAATAGGTTATGAAAGGCAATTTTATCTTTTTCCTCCAAACAGCTTTATTGAGATATAATTTACATCTCATAAAATCCATCTGTTGTGAGAGTACAATTCAATGAATTTTTAGTATTTACAAAATTGTGCAACCATCACTACAATATAATTTTAAACTTTTGTCTCTAAAAAAATAAACCTTTTGCTCATTTAAGAATTATTCATTTAGGCTATTTGTCTTGATTTTCATTTTAATTTTTTGTGTGCTTGGAATTTTTAAAGAAATTAATTACAAAGAGCAATATAAAAAACAGAAATGTCTACATCCTTTTACTGAAAAAAATATTATAATCTGTGGTAAATATCATAATGGCCATGTGAAAAGTGACAGGTCAATTGCATGTCCAAAAGTAACGCTTGTTTTTAAAAAATTGACTGTACAGTATTACAAAGGATCAATGCAGAAATGGTATCCATATATAACTTTCAAGCAAATTACTTAAAAGGCAAATGTATACCATTGTTTATTCACCAAAAATAAACCTTATTACTTTATATTCATATCTCACCCCAGGCATCTCTTAAGTTCTTATTTATTCTTTGGTGTGTTTTTTGTTTACAACCACAGATACAAGAGAAAATGTTCAAAAGGCTGCCACAGCCTTTCAAGGGAAGGAGATACACACATACAAAGTAATGAAAAAGTCTGTAAATCATAATTTAGATGCTATTAAAAGGTATCTCTATTCATTCTTTCAAATTATATCACTTTATTTAATTCCAATACGGACTTAATGTGTGTTCACTGGGATGGAAATCCATGACTACTGATATCAAGTGAAATAAATGTGTCATCTAAATTTCTTTTTCACACAAAAGTGATGTAGGAAGATTAAAAGGTGAGATTAAAACTTACCTTTTAAAAACATCACAACTATTGCATGGTCTACTTAGAAAAATATACAAGTCCGATGAGAGCATACCTTTACTGTAAAACAAAATCGAAATGACATAAAAGTATATAGAGATAAGCTGTTCAGTATGGTGGTCACTAACCATATGTAGCTATTAAGTACTTGAAACATTGCCAGTCTGAATCCAGATGTGCTATAACTAATAAAAATTCCTTACACAATTTTTAAAAAATATTTCAGTAATAATGTGCTTTACATTGATGACATGTTGAAATGATAATATTTTAGATATATCAGTTTAAATAAAATATATTATTAATATTAATTCTACTCACATATTTCCTATTATATTTTTAGTGTGGCTACTAGCAAATTTAAAATTATATTTCTATGGGACTCCACCAGGTTCATCACCCCTCCATCCTGCTTCCTTTCTTAGAAGTTATCTCTATTATGGCTTAACATATTCTTACAGACTTTTGCTATATGTTTTTAACATGTTTATAAACATATACCAAATGCATTTATAAACAGAGCAAAAGCTATGCATTTTCCAATAAAAATGAGTTCACAGTATACATACTGTACTATAACTTGCTTTATTCACTTCATATAGCTGGAAGAATTTTGTCACTATATACAGGACCACCCAAATCTTTTTACTGCTGGATATTTATTCATGGTATAGATGTACCATAATGTTCTCCAGACCCTATTAATAAATACTTAGGTCACTTCCTATTTTTTCTTTTCTTATCTGAGAGCGAGTGAGCAAGTGAGAGAGAGGCAGTGGGAGAGAGAGAGAGAATCTTAAGTAGGCTCCAAGCTCAGCACAGAGCCTGACGCAGAGCTCAATCCCACAACCCTGGGATCATGACCTGAACTGATTGAGAGTTGGACGCTCAACTGACTGAGACACTCAGGCACCTCATAGGTCATTTCCCGTTTTTCTTTTTTTTAATGTTTATTTATTTTTGAAGAGACAGGGCATGAACAGGGGAGGGGCAGAGAGAGCTGGAGACACAGAATCTGAAGCAGACTCCAGGCTCTAAGCTGTCAGCACATAGCCCGATGCGGCACTTGAACTCATGAACTGGGAGATGGAGACCTAACTGAAGTCAGATGCTTAACCGAGTAGGAACCCAGGCGCCCCAGTCATTTCCTATTTTCTATTACTATAAACAATGCTGTAATGAACATCCTCATACATGTATTTATGTGCATGTGTGGGAGTATTTTTGTAGGATATATCCCTAGAAGTGAAACTACAGGGTCAAAGACTATGTCACTTAAAATTGTGTTATATATTTCTAAATGGGCTATTCTCTTTTCAAAACAAAAAGATAAATGATCTGGCTTGTGACAGTCTATAATTTCTCCATTTCTCTGAAATGACTAGAATTAAGCTTCATGTCAGGGATTTGGTAAAGAAAAACAATTTTAATTTATGTCCTGAAGTCAGCCCAGACTTAGCCAATTGATTATTGTGGTGGGTACCTTTGGGGTGATTGCCTTGATAAAGGTTCCATTTCTTCTGGAAATGCCACCCCACCATTCCCCCCGAGATGTCTGTTCTATATGACCCTCAGTTTCTCTTCCCCTGGCTGAGTGACCCAGAGCTGAGTGGCCCAATCAAGGATACTCGGATTCTTTCTCCAGGAAATCTGAAATGTAGGGTGGTCAGGGAGTTGCTAAAGGCAATGCTCCAAAGCAGCCTTTATAAACTTCAGGTATTTGTGTGTGGCTTTCGTCATTTCTGCATACACCATAGGTACTTTTACGTACAAGGTTTTTTTCTTTACATCTTTTCTTTAAATTTAAATCTCTTTTAGGATTTTGTCTGGAGATACCACATAGCGAAGAGCTAAAGAATGCAGATTCTGCAGCCACACTGCCTAGATGCATAGCCCAGCAGTATGATCTTTTTTGATTATTTTTTAAATATTTATTCATTTTTGAGAGAGAGCGAGCGAGCGAGCACACGTGGGGAAGGGACAGAGAGAGGGAGACAAAGAATCGCAAGCAGGCTCCAGGCTCTGAGCTGTCAGCACAGAGCCCAACACGGGGCTTGAACTCATGAACCATGAGATCGTGATCGGAGCTGAAGACAGGCAACCAACCGACTGAGTCACCCAGGTGCCGCTTTCAGCAGTGTGATCTTAAACAATTTGCTCAACAACTCTCAGTGACCAGTGCTTTCATCTGTAAAATGCATGTGTCAGTGCTGTACGGTTAAATGACTGTATATATAATTCTTAAAATAGTGACTTTACATAGTAAGTGCTCAATAAATATTCTTACTGCTTTTAAATCAATTCAACTTTCTATTTAAATAAATCTTTAGAGAAAACTTTACATTCCAACTATATGGCTGGTACAGGTCAGGAGTAAATTGCCTACAGAGTAGCAAGACAATAACCTGCGGTGACAGAGTCATTCATTATACCACCATAGGCAGAGTATGGGGGAGGGGTAGAGAGAGAAGGAGACAACAGTATCTGAAGCAAGCTCTAGGCTCTGAGCCGTCAGCACAGAGCTTGATGTGGGGTTCAAACTCACGAGCCATGAGATCATGACCTGAGTCAAAGTTGGATGCTTCACCAACTGAGCCACCCAGGTGCCCAATATACCACCACAGGCATCTCTTACAAGGTCATCCCAGGCTTGGCATAGACCACAAGTCTCCTGGGATTCCTGACGCCTCCCTTAGTGATGGGCAATCCTTTCCTGTCTCTCTAGTCCCATCCCCACACCCTACCCCTGACCAGCCCTTGAAGTTCTATAAATCTGTAAAAACTCACTGATCTTGACTAAAACATTTATGTTACAAATGAGGGCCCAGTATATCAGAAAGGTCTACCAAATTATGTAAGGTTCTATATGTTGTAGATATAAGAACTAAAATCCAGATGCCCTAATTCACTTCCAATGCTTTTTCTTCTACTGTCAATATATTTATTTATAAGGTATTTATAAATACCTTTTAAAAAATATTTATTTGTTTATTTTTTGAGAGAAAGAGAGAATGCAAGCAGGGAAGGAGTAAAGAGAGAGGGAGACAGAATCCCAAGCAGGTTCCGCGCCATTAGCACAAAGCCCGACACTTAACCAACTAAGCCACCCAGGCACCCCCTGAAAATACTTATTTTTTTCATACTGAGACCTTCTCAAACAACAACAAAAACTGCTAAATATTTCAAATAATCTCAGTGTTGTTTACCCCCTTTTCAAAATGAGAGGAAACCAAGGCTAGGGCATGGGTGGGAGGAGGCAAAGTAATTTATAAGACTGCAGCTCATTAGAAATAAAGCCAGAATTTAAAATCAGTGCTTCCAGGGGCTCCTGGGTGGTTCAGTTGGTTAAGCACCTGACTCTTGGTTTTTGTTCAGGCTATGATCTCATGGCTCATGGGTTCGAGCCCCTCACTGGGCTCTGTGCTGACAGTGCAGAGCCTGCTTGGGATTCTCTCTCTCCCTCTCTCAAAATAAATAAATAAATTGGGGTGCCTGGGTGGCTCAGTCAGTTAAGCACCCGACTTCGGCTCAGGTCGTGATCTCGCGGTTCGTGGGTTCAAGCCCTGTGTCAGGCTCTGTGCTGAGAGCTAGCTCAGAGCCTGGAGCCTGCTTCAGATTCTGTCTCCCTCTCTCTCTGGCCCTCCCCTGCTCATGCTCTCTCTCTCTCTCTCTCTCTCTCTCTCTCTCAGAAATAAATAAAACATTTAGGTGCGCCTGGTTGGCTCAGTCGGTTAAGCGTCCAACTTCGGCTCAGGTCATGATCTCATGGTTCGTGGGTTCGAGCCCTGCATCGGGCTCTGTGCTGACAGCTCGGAGCTTTCTTCAAATTCTGTCTCCCTCTCTCTCTGACCCTCCCCTGCTCACTATCTGTCTCTCAAAATAAAATAAAGACAAAAAAATTTAAAAAAGAAATAAATAAAACATTAAAAAAATAATAAATAAATAAACTTAAAAAAAAAAACCCAGAGCTTTCCAATAACAGAACTTACTGTTTAGATAAATTTAATTCATTCTAAAGTATAAATGATTCATGATTATTCCCAAAGATTCTTTTTTTTTTTTTTTAAATATTTTTATTTATTTCTAGGAGAGAGAGAGACAGCGTGAGCAGGGGAGGGTCAGAGAGAGAGGGAGATACAGACTCTGAAATAGGCTCCAGGCTCTGAGCTGGCAGTCAGCACAGAGCCCGACGCGGGGCTCGAACCCATGAACCACTAGATCATGACCTAAGCGAAAGTCGGACGCTTAACCGACTAAGCCACCCAGGTGCCCCAATTATTCCCAAAGATTCTAATGTGGAGAAGCAAGTTAAGAACAAAAGGGCAGTGGATACTTGAAGTGGTCGATGATCAAGTGCTATGGGGAGACAGGGACTCAGAAAATATATCTACCACCTTGCTACAGTTGAACTTGGCCCAACCACTGTGCCTTCTCTTCCCCCAAACTTATCTCCTTTCTCCTGTGTCTAAATCATGGCATCTCATCTTGGTCTTCTGGATCCATAGTTCTCATCTCTACTCCTGGGAGAGGTAAGTAATATGGCCTATGAAAATGCGACAAAATATGCATACATTTAAAGAACATACATTTTAAAAAATAACTGATAAGATGCACTCTAAAAAGAGAGTCAAATGTGTACAAGGTTCTGCCACTCCTGTATTTCGTGAATGCCCCTGAATGTGCCAAGCACTGTGTTTGGTGCCACATTTACACCATAGACCCATCAGATTCCCGCTCTCAAGGAGCTTAAAGCCTGGCATAGATTAAAAAAATAATAAACAGAGACATATGAAAAATGTCCCCTGTTCACCTCAGAAAATATGTTAATTTTGTAAAGGGGTAAAACTACATATCCGGTCAGCAAACATTTTATTCCTGTGTTCAAATGAAATACAACATAGCATCTTAATAAGTCTGGATTTAAAGAATTAAACAGAGAACCCGAAGCTCATCTAATAGAATTCCAACTCACAGACAGATACTTCTACTCCCTAAGACTTTTGTTTTGTTTTTTGTTTTTGTTTTTGAGACAGAGGCAGAGCACGTGAGCAAAGGAGAGC